ATAGGGAGCCATCCTGTACATTTGTCAGGTGACTTGAGACATAGAGACATGTTAACATATTGAGATCATGTCAGAGAAACTGGACAAGAATTTATCAGACACACCAATCAGAGGAAAGGGTGTCACTTCCTCACTAAGACCCTATAAAGTGATGATCACCTAACACCATGACAATGTGTCCCTTCACCAACCTATCATCTGACCCCTGAATGACCATGGGACTTTAACCTTAGCTTGGTTCCCTGGTGTTGCCATGACCAACTCTACTGCCTGCCTATTCACTCAGTGGTTTGGTTGTCTCTCTGGACCTGGACCCAACCCTGTCTTTCTGACCCTGGTTAGAGCTTTCACCTCACAGCTGGCTTGTTCTCAAACCCTGACTGCAGTGGTCACAGCGGCTGCTCCCTGCCAGTCCTGGCCTGGATTGTTAGCCGCCCACTTCTGAAACCTTTGAGCACAGCCACGACCCTTTTAACTTGCATATTCTGTAAACCACACACTTGCATATAAACCCCCCACACGTGTGTGTACTATGTGATATGAAAGATGATTTTAGTAATTAAGATTGGAATAGAAGAATGTGCAGTCACCTCAGCCAGATCACCAGGGTGTCTGGCAAATTGCTGCCACTGAAACTGCCGGATCTTATACATTTATTGTCATTCAATAAACTCTGACATTGTTGAAAGATACAGTGTTTGTCTCTGTTTCTGCTATAGCATGTTCATGACAGTATGGGTAGATATTACAGTTCCCAGAAAATGCACTATGATGCAGATCTTCACATTGCTCAAGTGGACCTGTTCCACTGAGTCCTTTAAACTAACAAATATTTCATTTTCACATTCAATTTTAAACTACATCAAACAGAGGTTCATTCTACTAAGGCAGTTGTATATGTGATGCTGAAGGATTTATTCTGGTCACAAAAGCTCGTTTGCCTCTTTAAATGAGTGTACAGAAGCGTTGTCCTCACTTCAGTACAAGACAAAATATTAAGTCTTTAAAAGTTACATTAAATCAAATCAAAGACCAGACGCTGTCCATATTTGCTTTAACCAACTTTGGAAAAATAAATACCTCTGTTGAGTTCCTTGATGAAGCATCAAAGTAAAAACTTGATGACCATTCAAAGTTGCCTCTGCATTCAGAAAAATAAAACCTGCAGTGGAACGGAAAACTCGATCTTTGCTTCTTTTCTGTGGAAACTGCAATCACCCTCTTGTTATGGAAGGAAATATTATCACATTTTTCCCGTGGCTAGTGTGCTATCTCATAAAATTGATCTGGTTGATGGCAGATTCTCCAGATGGACACAATTCAGAAGCAAAAGATTTAGAGGGACAGGAACAGGTTTGCCGTGTGCTCAATTGTGGAGTTTGGAACCCCAGACACTTTTGCTTTTGCAGACCTGGCAAAACAAGATTAGTGGATTTCTGGTTAGCCAGTTAAACAACACCCACTCTATTGTCTAGTTTGTTTGTTTGTTTTGTTTTTTTAGAGTAAATTTCTGGTCAACATTTTACTGAACCTCTAAAACGGTGTGTGGCAACATTGTGACAGTTTTGTTTCAGAGCCTCACCGTCTTTTAGGCGTGTTAGGACGCCATTTGAGCATAGTTTGAACCCTGGAGATTCACAGGCTTAGCATTATTAAGTGGTCCAGCTCCATTTCAATTATCTCATCCCATCCGACCCCATCCTGACCATCTTTCCTATTCAATCTCGTCCTACCCTACCCATCCCATCTCCCCACCATCCAATCCCATCAGATCCCACCCTTCTCCATCCATCCCATTTAACTCATCTCTTTTCCCACCCCTTCTTCATCTCTCGCTTTCCTCAGAGTTATGTACAAATGCCTGACATGAATGCTTGGTGAGAAGAGATTATTTGGGTTCACAATTTAGGAGACACAGTCCATCATGGTAGGGAAGACATGGCAGCAAGCGACTGAAGAAGCCAGTCACAGTGTGTCCACAGCCAGGGGCTCTGGAAATAAAAGCTGGAGCTCAGCTTGCATTCTCCTTCTGGAGTGGTCCAGGACCCTCAGGATGCGTGATGATGCCCCTGCATTCAGGATGAGTCTTCCTACTTAGCCAAGCCTTTCTGGAAACACCCTTCTAGACACACCCAGAGTGTTTCCATGGGGATTGGAAATCCTATCAAGTTGTCAGGATGATCAGCCACCCTACAACTCATCCCAATCCGTTTCATACTATCCTCATCCATGCAGTTCCATTAAAATTTCCTTTTTCCTTGGCCTTTCAATATACATGTTCACATTTGAGCACAGAATGTCTCCCCTTAATAGGAAATTATGTAATGGAGTGATGGCATTCAGTATTGTGCAAACTCACATCATGCTTATACCAGACATACATGGACTCTCTCTTAAATTTCAACGGGTTTTGTCTCTACCTTACGTAAGAAGCAGTCTTGCTTGGGGAAGAAAAATTGTTTCGTACTGAAGCTCATTCACTTACTGCCTCACTCTTTCTACCCTAATTAGACTGCTTCCTTAGAGCTGCACACAGCAGTGGCCTAGCCATTCGGATATTCCCTGCATCTTATTATGCAAGTGTTTACTGTGTTCTGGAGAGGAGTTGGACGTGGGGAAGGCAGCCGTGAAGGAGACACGAGAGTAGCTAAGGAGCTGGGATGGCTTCCTTACTTTCCCTTCTATTTTTGCCTTGTGCTCATTTGTAGTTTAGTTTCCCCTAATTATCAGCTCTTAGGAAGTGAGTGGAAGCCCAGATTCCAATTCTGTGCAAGGCGCATACACTGGGTGAGACTGGCCATATGCCTCCGTTGGCATGTATTTCTTTTGTCAAGACAGGATTTGTTACGTCTTTAATGGAGACTTAAAAAAAAAAACCAGAAGTAATTTCTCTAAGTATCTCCTACATATAATGGAGAATTTTCATAGGTTAGTCATGATCAGAATTAACTGAGTTTGGGCAACCAGAATGCAGTATTTGAGGCAATCTTACTAAATATCACTTATTTATCTGATATTCATATTCAATTCTATCTTGCTCTCTCTGTCTTCCCTTCTCTTTAATTTTGGAGAGTTTCACTACATAGTCCTGGCTGGCTTAGAATTGGCTCTGTAGACCAGGCTGGCCTCAGACTTACTAACCCCTCCTCTGCCTCAGGAGTGCTGAGACTGCAGGTATGACTCTACTCCTAGAGTGTGAGACTGCAGGTGTGACTCCACTCCAAGAGTATGAGACTGGAGGTGTGACTCCACTCCTAGAGTGTGAGACTGCAGGTGTGACTCCAC